TTACACAACAAAATCCTGATAAGTTATAGAATCCATAATGGCTATTTCCAGGAATAGCGCTTAAAAAAAAATAGATATCAATTTGGTTGACGCCAAAAAGAAAGTAACTATAGCAACAGTAAATATAGCTGGAAAATCCCTAAATAATGATGGTGTTCAATGGAATAGGAATAACTCGACTTTTCATTCTTAAGTAAAAGTACATAATAACATAGTGTAGGAGGAACTATAATTTGATCAGCACAGCAACCAAAGCGTACTGTAAGAGTTTATATGGATAAAGTTCGTCACCTTACCGAGTTTGGTTTTTTTTCCTTCCGGAATGCTTCTTGAAGCCATTCGAGCGAAATTTCTTACAATTGTCTAACACTGACGAACTTTTGTGAACCTATGCCAATCACGCACAATACACATTTGACTTTCCTGTGTACTGCGAGCGGTTATATTATTATGAAAAAAGGTCGGACAGTTATGTATTTAGCCAAAGTAAAACCAAAAATATACAAAGCGAAATTGAGTTGGCACCAGTGTGTGCGTTGTGGAATTAAGTTACAGCGAATGTGCCGCGAGGATATGTGTAACTGACAAGTAAAGGTGGCGGACAAGGAAAAAATTTAAGGACATTCGTCCGAAATATGTACAAAGCAAGACCTTGATATCTCTATAAGCGTGGTATAAAGATAAAAGAGGGTCCGACTTGGGTTGACGCGGTAGCCGTAAACAATTACAGCTACATTTGTAACACTTAATTTAAGGCACTTCAACACTAAACACTCAAACAGTTAGCAGGAAAGTTCGTTTTTAAAATCCAAAGGAATTAAACATTCAGCAATTTGGCGAACAACACTAAAAAGTAAACCCCATTCCAGTTTTGTTAACAAACTGAGTCTCCTTAAAAAGAGTTCGTTCTTGAGAAGAAACTCCCTATTGGACTTGTACTCCAATATAATATTGCCATCAGTTCTATATTGACTGGTCGTTTGGGGCGGCCACTTTAATGCGGACCTTCTACACCCGCTGGAAATACTTTACCTTAAGGCAGACAGAATAATATATAACTTGCCCAGCGATATCATGATGCCTACTAAGAAGTATACCATCTTATAAACTTCGATTAATTAAAATACTACATAGCGTGTTTATAGGTGAAGCACCTGCGGC